CAAAACTCAAAGGACGTCCTGGGGTCTCGGGGTTGAGCTTCTCGTGAAAGGTTCCTGGTGGACGGGCCCCTGCTGCATGGGCGCCGGATCCCGCAGAGCCCGATGGACCCGGGCTGGGATCGACCCTGGCCAGCAGATGTCCCCGCCCGTGCTCCGCCCTCGCGCCTCCTCCCTCGGAGGTTGGAGGGTCGAGGCTGGAACCTGGGCCTCCGTCGCCCCTCCGGGACCCGGAGGGCTCCTCGTCCCTGCTCCGTCGACCAGACGGACCCAGAGGTCCAGACGCACTGAAACAATCCAGACGCAGGCTTTTCGCAGCTTTCGGCTCCTATAGGGGCCCTCGCCGGGCCCTGGGACCGTCAAGAAACGACTCGGGATGAAGAACCGAACCTCGGGAGCCCGTATTGAAAAATTCACGACGCCAGATCTTTGGGTAAGAGTGACCCTTGGCCGGAGTGTTCCGTGGTGCGGGCCCATCGGGGTCCCCTGATCGCCGAAGGCGATGCGATGGTGGCGTCTTGCGCGCTCGTGTGGGGTCTTCCTGCGGCCCCCCCCCACAGGCCGCGCACCAAAGGTCACCCTTGCCCAGGGTGACTCCTTGCGTGCAGCCGACTCCTCCCTCGGAGGTTCGAGGGGCGAGGTTGGAGCCCGGACCTCGGTCGCCCTCTGGGGACCCACGGGGGTCCTCGTCCGGCCTCTCCGAGGCCTAGGGCTTGACAGGCAACACCGGCCTCGGCGGTGCCCCTCCACCGAAGCAAGACGATCCCGACCTTGGTGGTGGTCGTGGTGGTGGTGGTGATGTCCAGGCTCTCTAGGTGTTCGGCTCGAGTGATGGATTGTTGACGTTCGTGCCGAGCGTATCGGACTGAGAAAAGCCTCGTTACCTCACCCGTGCCTGCCCTCGGCAAGGATTTGCAGGGGGCCCCTTCGCTCTCTCCTCTCCCCCCGCGTGCGGCTCCCAGGTGCTCCGCGGCGAGTGCAACACCATCGTCCCCGGCCTCCTTGCCGCCGGCGAGGCTGGCTCCGCTTCCGTGCACGGCGCCTTGGGGTGGGGGGGGGGGGGGGCATGCACGAGCACCTCCTCCCCGATGCTGCCCGGGGGCCTCCTCCTCCTCCTCCTCTCCTCCTCCTCCTCCTCCTCCTCCTCCTCCTCCTCCCTCTCCTCCTCCTCCTCTCCTCCTCCTCCTCCTCCTCCTCCTCCTCCTCCTCCTCCTCCTCCTCCTCCTCCTCCTCCTCCTCCTCCTCCTCCTCTCCCCTCTGGAGCCTGTTTTTTTGTCAGGTCTGGGCGATAATAACGGCCGTGATCGGCCGTCCCCTTCCCCCCCCACCCCTGGCTCGCGTCACGCTGTGTGTTGCTTGCGGTTGCAAGATGTCCGACGGATTAGCTTCGAGGATTTGCGGCGGCCCCCCGCCGTGATGTGATCGACTGGAGGATCCCCCCCCCTTCCTCAAGGGCGTAAAAAGCGCCCCTACCCTGGTTTACGAGGCGCTGTGCGCTGAAACTCCTGTGGGCCGACAGGGTACACCCTGCGTGATGTGCCGCGTCCTGGCGGTTCTAGGCTTTGGTGGTTCCCAGCTGGTTTACATACCACGCACTTGTAACCTAGGGTAGGGTCGTTTTTTCATCCCTCAATTTCCCCGATCACGTCCGCTATCGCGAATTAAGAAAAAACAGGCTCCTGCCCGCGTCTGGCCTGCCTCCCCGGTGCTGTCTGCTCCCGGCCCCCCCGGCCACTGCAGGTGGTCCCGCTCCGGCTCTAGGCCGCTCTCCCTGCTGCTGCTCGGGTGCTGCCACAATCAGCGAGCGCGTTCCACCACTCGCAAAGTGCCTACTCGCAAACGTCCGAAAAACACAGGTCTGCCTCGATGTAATTCAGCGTAGATGCCCCGCGGCGGATCCAGGTCACATGCGAGCAGTTACTCTACGAGTAGTGGAACGCGCTCAGCTACAGAATGCCTCCGGAGTTCCAGGGAGGCCGCCGCAGCCTGCCTCCAGTCGGCGGCGAGCGAGGGGGGGGGGATGAGAAGGAGAGGGCCTTCTCAGAAGGCGGCGGGACTCCTCAGAAGCTCTCGCGCCTTCTGAGAAGCTTTCGTTGTGTCTTCGAGGAAGGCCCAGAAGGAAACTTCTCAGAGGGCGGGGGGACTTCCGAGCCTTTCTTTCTCCTTCTCACTTTCCCCCCCCCTCTCTCGCCGCCGATCCAGAGCACCCTTCACGAGGTTCAGAGGGCCCCAGGGGCTCCAAAGTCGAGCGCAAAGCTGGGGGCACTTTGGGCCTGGGGCACCTTGAGCAACCCCCGAGCTGCACCCGGCTGCTGCATCTGCTGCTCGCGCTTCCAGTCCTGGTCATGCTCTCTGACCCTTCGAGCAGGAGACCGACAGCAGAGTTTTTGTTCCCCAAATTGATGTTTGTCGACGAAACAACGAGCCTTACGTATAATGTTTGTAGGTGAGTGTTTGTAGATCTACGAATCATCTATGCACTCTGTCGTATATCTATTCGTCGGCGAACATCACTTGTGGGGCGAATCAATTCTGTAGTCGATCCCCTAATTACCGGCCGTCCACTGTTTACACGTGAAACGTATGGGGGGGAAACGGCGGCCACATGCAGGCGAAGTAGCCGACTCAGGCTCGGGGGCCCATACATTAGACCTGGGTGGGCGCGGCAGGAGAAGTACCAGGCATCGTGCGGAGAAGGAACAGTGTCAAGGCCGCCATGGCAAAGAGTATGCGCCCACTGGTCTGCCTTCCCCTCGTCCTCGTCCTCCTCGTCCTCCTCATCGTCCTCCTCCTCTTCCTCGTCCTCGCCTCCTCGTCCTCCTCCTTCTCCTCATCGTCCTCGCCTCCTCCTCCTCCTCCTCCTCTTCCTCGTCCCCTCGTCCTCGCCCTCCTCGTCCTCCTCATCCTTCTTTCTCCTCCTCCTCTTCCCTGCTCCTGGTCCTCTTGGTCCCTCTCGGCTCTCCCTCTCCTCCGCCGGGCCGGGTTCGGGCCTGCCTCGTGGCGGGCCCGCGTGTGCGACCTTGCCCGTGGCTGACCTGGGTTGGCATTTTCCCCGGGTCGTGCACGGGGGGCTTGCAAGAGGGGCAGATGTTCCACCACCGCTACCACAGGTAGGAGGGAGCAGGAGGAGGAAGAGGAGGAGGAGGAGGTGTTGAAGATGATGATGAAGATGAAGATGAAGATGAAGATGAATATGAAGATGATGATGATGATCATGCTGATGATGATGATGATGATGATGATGATGTTGATGATGATGATGCTGATGATGATACTGATGATGATGATGACGATGATGATGATGGTGGTGATGGTGATGATGATGATGATGATGATTATGATGATGATGACGACGATGATGATGATGCTGCTGATTCTGATGATGATGCTGATGATGATGATGCTGCTGCTGATGATGATGATGGTGATGATGATGGTGCTGATGATGAGGAAGATGAGGAGGAGGAAGACCTCCCCATTTCTTCCCCATCCTACCTGTGGTAGTGGTGGTGGAACATCGGACCAGCATTTCATGCCTTCGGGATGCCACCAGGCGCGAACCGCCTCGGCGCGAACTCGCTGCTCGATCTCGTCGTCTTCGGGCGCCAGGCCGCCGACACGACCGCGGAGCTGGTCGCGCCGAGGGGGCGAAGGGGGGATCGGCGTCAGAGTTTCAAGACGGCCGCAGAATTCGGAGGGCGATGAGGAGGATGAGGAGGAGGAGGAGGAGGAGGAGGAGGAGGAGGAGGAGGAGGAGGAGGTGGAGGTGGAGGTGGAGGTGGAGGTGGAGGTGGAGGAGGCATAGGATGATAAGGAGGATGAGGAGGAGGAGGAGGTGGAGGAGGAGGAGGAGGTGGAGGTGGAGGTGGAGGAGGCGTAGGATGATGAGGAGGATGAGGATAAATATTATCAGGAGGAAGAGAAAAGGATTAGGAGTGGCAGGAGTGGGGTGTGAATAAGCTGAAGTTTGTGTTTGTTCAGGTCAAGCCGAACAGCGCCCCAGTCAAGCTGCCGGGCAACGCGGGCGAGGCGACGATCGCGCGCATGGACAAGATCCGCAACAGCAAGGGACCGATCCCGACGGCCGTGCTGCGCACCAAGCTGCAGGTCAACATGCAGAAGTATGCGCCGGTGTACCGCAACGCTGATGACCTGAAGACCGGCAAGGGCGTGGTTGACGAGATTATGAAAGAGTACAAGGACGGAGCGGGCAAGGGAGAGATGGGGGGGATCCGGTTCAGCCCGCGGGCGCGGACGACGAGCTTTCTTGAGCACTCTTAGTTTTGGAACGCTCTGGACCGCTATGCCCCGTCGGCCCCCGGAGTTTCTGGGGCCTCTGCTTGCCGCTTTGTGATGCAAGGGGAGGGCAGGGAATGCGAGAGAGGAAGGTGCAGAGGGAGCGAGGGGTAAGTGAGTGGAAGGATGTGGGCATCACCGATCGCAGCATGATCTGGAACACCGACCTCATCGAGACCCTGGAGCTCGAGAACCTCATCAACCAGGCCGCCCAGGACGCTCCCTCCTCCATCCTTGTTGCCTCCTCCCTCCTCTGTCATCCCTCCCTTCTCCGTCATCTGCGATCAGCACTGCTGGCTCTTGCGAAAGGCTCGGAGCATTTCCATCAGGGCGTGCTGTCTGTGCTTGTGTTTGCCTGCCTGCGGTGGATGGTCGGCGGGCTGGCAAACCCTGGCGGCCTTCCGGGAAGAACTCGAACCTCTGGATCAGAATGAGGCTCGCCCTTCGGTCCAGAGGCCCTGACTCGATGGATAGTATTTGGACGGCCTCGCACCTCGACAGCGCGTTTGATCGCATCACCTCGCTCTTCCCAAGCCTTCCTCAATCGCGGCGATGTTGCTGCCGATGTCTGGGCGGGGTAGGCGGCGAGCAGGGGGTCGGAAACGTCTGTCCAGCTGCCTACCCTGTACTGACCCCTGGGGTGTCACCGCCATAATGGTCAGGAAGCGGGCGCCCAACGATTCCGTTGCAGCCTCCTCCGATGCGGGTGTAGGACGGCTGTGCCCAAGAGCAGGGCTCCCTCCTGACTGTCCAAGGCCCTGCCGTCTCCCCAGCATTGTCTCAGCAGGTGTACAGGCGGCCGGGAGTAGTAGGTCGACCCTGCCAGATCAAGGGTAGCCTTGTGTCCTGTGTCTCGCGACCCATGCTTCGTACATTCCTGTGGCGATGTGGCCCTCGATAGGGTCTTGTGTCCTCTCGCGTGTCCTGTCCAATCGAGTCCGCCTGTAGGACGGCTGAGCCCAAGAGCAGGGCTCCCTCCAGGCTGTCCAAGGCCTTGCCGTCTTTCGGCATCTTCTCGGCACATGTGCCAGCCGTCGGATTTGCCCTCGGCGTTCGTGCCGTCGTTGCGCGCACGGGGCTGCCTGCCGTGGCGGCCACGGCCTGCTCCTCCTCCTCCTCCTCTTCCTCCCTCTTCGTCCTCCTCCTCCTCCTCCTCCTCCTTTTCCTCCTCCTCCCTCCTCCCTCCTCCCTCCTCCCTCCTCCTCCTCCTCCTCCTCCTCCTCCTCCCTCCTCCTCCTCCTCCTCCTCCTCCTCCCTTCCTTCTCCTCCTCCTCCTCCTCCTCCTCCTCCTCCTCCTCCTCCTCCTCCTCCTCTCACGCTTCGTGCGACGTGCGGTTGCACTCGATGGCTTGCTCTACGCCCTCGAAGAGCGGGGCCAGGCTCGGCAAGAGATCTTTTGTTTCCCTCCAGGCGTGGCCCGGCCCCCCTTTGCCCGTGCTGCTGAGGCTCTGGCCCCGGCTCAGAGTCCGGAGGCCGCCTCGCCCCTCGGTGCCCACGCCCTTGCGCAGTTGGGTTGGATGAGCACCTCGGGTTCCAGAGAGCTTTCGCACCCAGGTTTTGCTGCGCCCGCCCTCTCAATGCGGGGGGTGGGTCGGACGCGGCTGGGACGAGGATACATCCGTTTCAGAGCGTTCCGGAACGCTCTCTCGGTGCGTCCCGGAGCGCTCTGAGAAGGCCGCGGCGCCCGAGACATCCTCCAGAGCCGCCGGATCTCTCAGAGCTTCTCGATTTATCCTCACCCGACTTTCTCCTCGTCCCGGCCTCGTCTCGGGATGGGATGGTGGAGGGGGAGGGGTACGAGGGCGGTGGCCCGCTGGCCAGGGGAGTCCAGGCGGGGGGGATGGGGGCGCGGTGTTCCGCGCGCGGGCTCCGCGCGCCCCCCCGCCGCCGTAGACGTCAGCGGCAGCGTGCCCCAGGACGTCTGCGGGACGGGAAATGACCCCAGCCGCTGCTTCTTGCTTGCGCCGCCTTCCAGCCGGCCGAAAAAGAAGCAGTGGTTGTTGTCATTTCCCTGGTGCCAAGCTCACGAAAATGACCACAACCACTGCTTTGTTTCTGCGGCCTGGAAGGCGGCAACAAAAGAAAAGCAGTGGCTGTGGTCGTTTTCACGCTCCGTAAGGACGGCCCTGTGAATCGCCGCCCCTTACCCCGCCCTCTCTGATTAGGCACGTGCGTGTACCTTCCTGACGCTCCCGGACGGTGGATCCCTGCTGCCCTTGCGAGCAGACGCTGCGGTGGGCTACGACGGCTTGCAATGCAATGGCCAGCACTGGGAGTCCAGAGACCATCCCGCACGCCCCCCCCCAACCTCCGAGGCCCCCCAACATCAAGAGCGATCCTCCCCTGGCTCTCACCCACACTGCTGGATGGATGACCGCGGACAATGCTATCAAGCTCGGCTTGCACACCGCCTCCACGCCCCGGAGGAGCACAGTTGCGCATGCGTCTGCCCAAAATGGCGTCTGGAGTCCTGGCCGCGCGTCGTGCCCCGTTGAAGCTGCTCCCCATCCACCTACCCATGCAGTCACACTTAGAGCATAAATAGGTGCGAAGGCGATACAGGTAGAATAACTCCTTGGGGAAGTACTCGCCCTTGCGGGGCTGTCCGGAAGGCGCCTCGCCCGGGCTACAGTCGTGTGGAAATTGTTGACCAGGACGTTTCTGCCGGTCCTGCCGGTCCTGGTGCCGGCCGTGCTGCCCTCTGCTGTGCTCCTGGCCCTATTCGTGGATGTCAGCATGAAGCTGCCGCTGTGAGGTGTGCTGCTCCCCGTGGTACTGCGGGTCCCCATCGCAGTTGTCCACGCAAATCTGCTGCTCTCCGTCAGGCCGTCCCTGGTCCTGGTCGTGCTGCCCTCTGATTTGCTAAAGGTTTCCGTCGCGGATGTCAGCGTGGAGCTGCTGCTGTCGGGTGTGCTGCCCCCCGAGGTGCTGCTGTTCCCTCTCGCAGCGGTCGATCTAAAGCTTCTGCGCTCCGTCTTGTCACTTCAGGTGCCGGTCGTGCAGCTTCCTGCTGAGCTATTGGCCCCACTACCGGATGTCAGCGTGAGGCTGCTGCTGTGAGTGTGAGGTGTGCTCGTGCTGGTCCCTGTCGCTCTGGTGCTGCTGGTCCCACTTCCAATTGTCGACGTATATTGATTTGCCGCTCTCTGTCGCGCCAGTCCCAGTACCGGTCACACGGCTCTGCTGTGCTACGGGCTCCCCTCGCGGATCTCAGCGTGGAGTTGCGGCTGCCTGGTGTGCTGGTCCCTTTGGTGTTGCTGGTCCCCCTCGCAGTGTCGACGTCGAGTTGCCGCTCTCTGTCGCACCGTTCCTGGACGCGGTCGTGCTGCCCTCTGTTGTGCTACTGGTGCCCACTCGCGGATGTCAGCGTGGAGCTGCCGCTGTGAGGTGCGCTGTCCCCTGTGGTGCCGCTGGCCACCCTTGCGGATTTCAGCGTGGAGGGGCTGCTGTCAGGCGTGCTGCGCCCTGCGGTGCTGCTGGTCCCACTCGCACGTGTCAACGTAGATCTGCTGCTCCCTGTCGCGCCGCTCCTGGTGCGGGGGCGTGCTGATCTCGGCTGTGCTACGGGTTCCCGTCGCGGATGTCAGCCTAGGGCTGCTGCCGTTCGGTGTGGTATTCCCTGTGGTGCTGCTGGTCCCCCTCGCAGCTGTCCACGTAGAGCTGCTGCTCTCTGTCGCGCCACTCCCGGAGGCGGTCGTGCTGCTCTCCGCGTAGAGCCGCTGCCTTCAGGTGTGGTGTTCCCTGTGGTGCTGCTCGTCCAGCGTGCGATTGTCAACGTAGAGCTGCTGCTCTGTGTCATGCCGCTCCTGGTACTGGTCGTGATGCCCTCCACCGTGCCACTGAACCCCTTCGCGGAGCCCCGCGTAGGGCTTCTGCTGCTGCTGGCTGGTGTGCTGCTTCCTGTGGTGCCGCTGGTCCCACGCGCCGTTGTCAACGTAGAACTGCTCCTCCTCCTCCCGCTCCTCCTCCTCCCCGTCCCCTTCACCCCCCTCGTCAGATTCCTCCCCTTCCCCCTCCTTCTCCTTCTCCTCCTCCTCCTCCTCCTCCTCCTCCTCCTCCCTCCTGCCCCCTCTCTCCTCTCTCCTCTCTCTTCTCCTGTCCTGTCCCAAGTGCGCCCCTCTCCTCTCGTCATGCTGCTCATCTCCTTCCCTCTCCCCTCATTGCCTCTCGTGTGCTCTCCTCGCTTCTCCCCCTCCCCTCCTCAGGAGATCCACTCCGCCGAGGCGCGCCAGGAGTCCCGCGGTGCGCACGCCCACGAGACCTTCCCCGAGCGCGACGACGTGAACTGGATGAAGCACACGCTCTCCTTCCTGGACAAGCCCTACGTCGAGGAGATCTGCCCCCCCCCCCCTCCCCCTGGAGGGTCCGCTTCGATCCGGTTTGGTTCGACTCCGGTACGGGCGCAGCGCGGCGTAAGAACATCATCGGTGGGGGGGAGGGTGCCGAAAGTTCCATGACGCAAGCTAAACTGATCAAGATGTGATTGCAGCCTATGTTCTGCAGTCCAGGTGGTGCAAACTATCTGGTTCAATACATGTTGTGCAACATCTACTGCGCCACCTAGTTGATGGAATTCTTCACGCTTCACGTATCCCCACCAGCCCATTCAGAGACCCTGACCTTGCGAGCTGACGGGAAAAGGGGCGACGAGACACATCGAGTGACACAGAGCGAGCAGCCAGGGTGAACAGATGATCTCTGGGAGCAAGACGGTGGCCTTGGAAGGCCATTTCGGGCCATCCCTGGAGGCGCTCTGTGCCGTCTTGGGCGCCTCTGGGGCCCCTCTTGGGGCCTTCTTGGGCCTTGGGGCCATGTTGAGGCCCCCGACGAGCATCGGAAGCGAAACGGCGAGACAGGAGCAACCATACACTTTTCTCAGGTTTTGACGGCTTTGAGGCTCTTGGAGGGGTCCTACGGGGTCGCCGAGAGCATTTGGAACCGTTTTGTGACCCTCTTGGGGCCTCTTGGAGGCATGATGGAGGTCTTCTTGGGCGATCTTGCGCTATCTTCAGGCATCTTGGAGGCTATCTTGGGGCATCGGAGGCCCTCTTGGAGCCATCTTGAGCAAAAGCGGGCCCTCTGATGACTCGCGCCCCCTCCCCAAAATTGCCCTCGGAGGGGAGGGGGAGGGTACCCCTCCCCGAAGGGAATCTGGGTTGCTGTTGAAGAGGGGCGACAGGTGTCGTTGTAACACTTGCGCCCAGAGGGGCTGGGTGGGGTTGTGGTAGGCAATCCAGGTACATGTATATACATACACATCATTACCAACATGTATGTTTGTATATATATATATATATATATAGATTGAGCAGTTTGTTTTGTGCAAAACACATATATGTATGATTCTAGATGTGTATGTTTAGTGTGCACCCAATGTGGTGCAATATATGGTGTGCACCTTTTGGAATGCAGTCTATGTGGTGTAAGGCAGATCGTGCAACACACGAAACACATGTATGAGTACATTTGTGCCCATACGCATGTTGCAACATACGTTCTGCCACCAACGTGGGGCAGTATTCGTTACGCAAGCTATGTGGCGCACTCTACGTGGTGCAATCCATGTGGGGCAATACGTGGTGCAATGTACGTGGTGCAACTACTCCACATTCAACTTGGAGTTGTCCACTCTACTGCTCGCGCAACCATCCCACCCACCCACCCGCAACTATGTTTGCAAACCCCATGCGGCGGCGAGTGTGATGAGTGCTTGGCGCTGGCTGGTGCATCTTTGCGGCCGCGACAGCCCGCGCCTGCACGCGCGCGCAGCGACCAGCTACTTTGGCGCGACCGACGCAGCCGCGGTGGCGCTGACCGCTGGGCACATCTCAGCGGGCACTTCAGTGCGAGTCGGCGGCTTGGGTTGGCTCGGTAGTATGGCAACGTCGACGACGGTAGGTACGGTGATGATAGTAGCGATGGTAGTGGCGATGCTGACAGCGACGACATGGCCAGTGACGGCGCGGATGCTGACCACGCCGGCGACCCTGACGGCGTCCTCGCATCTGCGATGAAGGTTTGGAAAGAGTTCGACATGCGCGCGCGGCCGACGCGCGAGCGTGGCCCGCGTGATATAATTTGACACGGATCGTTCCCCCCGCACGCGCGCGATGGCGCGCGAATGATGTCGGCATGCGGCGCGAGAGGCCCGCTTGGAAGAATTCCATGTACATGTTGAAAACCAAGGGTGTTTTCAAGAATTCGCAAGATCGCAGGCGCACGGTTATTTTGAACATTAATGTTGCGAAACCATGTGTTTTTGTATGTTTTTGGGTGTTCGATTTTGGAGCCGCCACGAAACCGAAGGTTTTTGAAGGATTTTGGCATGTTGGCACGACGACCCGCCTGCGTGCACTTCGTCGTTTATCTCGCGACGGCACGCGCGCAAGGGCTGTCGAACGATTTCGACATGCGAACGCGCGAAGCCCGGTTGGTAGCATCTTCTGAACGTGTTGAACAACCTCTGGTTTTATTAAGGCTTCACAGGAGTGCGCGCATACGTTTGTGTTGAACACCCGTTTTGCGAAACCCTGTTTTTTGTATGTTTTTTGGAAACTCGATTTTGAAAATTTGCGACACCGAAGGTTGTTTAAGGAATCCGTGTGCGTTTCGTTCAGTTTGCGCCAGGTATTTTTGACAAACTGCTGATGGTTGATAAGAGAGTGCGCGCGCATAGTATTTTCGGCAGAGGATGGTGGTGGGGGGGATGCCGTTTGGGCTGGGCTGGTGTGACATTCATCTGCCAAATAAGCAATACACCAGAATCGTACGCAGGGGGATTGACCCTTTTCTTTTTAGCACAGGAGAAGCTACGTTGTGCAACCTATGTTGTGCAATCCATGTGGTGCAAAACATATGATGCATACCATGTTGTGCAAACGACGTTATGCAATCGAAGTTGTGCACTGTTCGTGGTGCATTCTCTGTGATGCAATTGATTTTAACAAACGAGTTAACACATCCCGTGTTGTTGCAAACATCCCACCCGCCCACCCGCAACTTGGTTTGCAAGTCCATTGCGGTGGCGATTGCGATGCATGCTCGGCGTTGGCTGGTGCGTCTCTGCGGCCGCGCCAACCCAAGCACTCGCGCGCAGCGGTCAGCTGGTTTGGCGCGACCGACGCGGCCGCAGTGGCGCTCATCGTTGGGCACATCCCAGCGGGCACTTCATTGCGAATCGGCGACTTGGGCGGGCGCGGTATCATGGTAACGTCGACAACGGTAGACGTTGCCGGGCGAGTCTCCAACGACGTCGACGACGACGACAACGACGACGACGACAACACCACCGACGACGACGACGACGCCGACGCTGACGACGACGACGATGACAACGACGCCGGCGACGCCGGCGACGACGACGACGCCGACGACGACGACGACGGCGACGACGACGACGGCTACGACGAAGACGACGACGACGACGTCGCCAACGAAGACGACGACGAGGGAGGAGGGAGTACGACGACGGCGACGGCGACAACGGTAGACGTTGCAGGCGAGTCTCCCAACGACGCCGACGACAACGACGACGACGACAACAACACCGACGACGACGACGACGCCGACGCTGACGACGACGACGATGACGACGACGACGACGCCGTCGACGATGACGACGGCGACGACGACGACGACGGCGACGACGACGGCGACGACGAAGACGACGACGATGTCGCCAACGAAGACGACGACGAGGGAGGAGGAGGACGACGGCGACGGCGACAACGACGAAGGATTCGGGAAAACGACGACGACGGCGGCGACGAAGACGACAACGACGACGACGCAAGAACGCGCGCACACGCTTTTGTTGAACATCCGTGTTGCGAAGCCTTCTGTTTTTGTATGTTGTCTTTGACGCACGACTTGGGAACCCTTCCGAAACCGAAGTTTTTTGATGGATTTCGTCATGCGCGCGCGACGACGCGCGCGTCTGCCCTTTGTCCCGTTTTTGCATAGGATTCTCGCGACGGCACACGCGCAATGGGCGTTCGAAGAATTTTGACATGCGCGTCGGTAGCATTTATTGAAAATCGTGGACCTCGGTGGGGGGTCGAGTATATTTTTCTTTTCGAACGGATAAGCTATGTTGTGCAGCCACTTTGGTGCAACCTGTGTGGAACAACCCATGCGGCGGCGACGAAGGCGTGATCTGGTTGCGACAGGGCGACGACGGCGGCAACATGGCCGCCAGAGCGGCACATGGCCCCAGACGGCGGGCGGCGACGAGGCGGCGACGGGGCGGCGACGGCGGATACGTAGCCACGGCCCCAGACGGCGGGCGGCGACGTGGCGGCGACGGGGGGGCGACGGCGGATACATAGCCACCGGGGCGGCACACGGGCCCAAACGACGGGCGGCGACGAGGCGGCGACCCAGGATATGGAACTCTGCCCCCCAGGGAAATCTGGTCCAGACCTTGGGGGGGCGGCCCGCGCTGCGGACAAGCGCGGCGCGTCGGATGTCTCGGGCCGAACACACATGGGGGGGGATGAGGAGGGGGGGGGCCACCAAGTCTGCCGCATGCAGCCGGTTTCCGCTCCGCCGTCGGGTGCTTCTCGATACACGGGCGCCCCTTGGCGCCAGGAGGCGCCAAGAGAGCCAGCTGCGTGAGCCGATTCTCTGCCCTGCCCTTCGCTATCCCCTCCCCTTTCTTGCGACCCGAGGGAGGGAGGGCCGGGGAGGAGGTGGAGGAGGGAGGCAGGGCCGAGGAGGAGAAGGAGGATGAGGAGGAGGAGGAGGAGGAGGAGGAGGAGGAGGAGGAGGAGCGGATGGCCGCCAGGAAAACCAGTTGCGTGAGTTGACTTCCATGTGCAGTTTTGCTATTCCCCCCGTTCGTGCGACCCGCGGGTCGGGGCGGGCGGAGCCCCGTGGAATGCGAGGAAGCGGGCGGGGGGGCGAGAATGGGGAGCGGAGGGCAGGGGTGGGGTGGCAAGGGAGCCGGGAGGGACGGAGGGGGAGCGGAGGGCAGGGGGTGGGGTGGAGCGGAGGGCAGGGGGACCAGGGTGGAGCGGTGGGGTGGGGTGGCAAGGGACCAGGGGGAGCGGAGGGCAGGGGGTGGGGTGGAGGGGGCGCGGGCGATGGGGGGAGGGACATGGTCGGGGCAGGCGGGGGTCAACGAAAGCGGGGGTCAGTCGGAGCGCCGGGAGCGTGCAGGATCCTGCAGTGGCCAGGTTCGCATGGGCCCGCGTGGTCCTGCAGGATCCTGCGGGATCCTGCAAGGCCTGGCTGGCCTGGGTGTGGACTGACCCGAGCCAGCGCGTCCCCTATCTGGGGGGGAGGAGTGGGGAATTCGAAGCCTGCGAGTTCCCGTGCGCGAGAGGCCCCGCCGAGGGTAAGCAGCTTGCACGCCAACGCGGGCGATCCCCAGAGGCTCGTCGTTGCCGGGGCGGGCCCTCTCAGTGGGCGGCAGGGGCCTCTCAGAAGCCGGCTCGTGCCTGCAGAGGAGTCTTCTCTTTGCCCTGGGGGAGGGCGCTCAAGGAACTGCTCGGCAGGGCGGGCGATCCCCAGAGGCTTGTCGTTGCCCTTGCCGGGCGGGGGGGAGGGAGCGGGGTGCAGGAGGGATGCGGGGGAGGAAGGGCTTCTGTTCGTTGGGCCGCCCGGGCAGGCGCACGGAGCCGTCGAGGGGAGAGCATGCTACGCACGGAATGGATAAAAAGGCACCCTGAAGTCCATGAGTTGGGAGTTCGATGAGTCTCCAAGGCGTTGATTGGCGGAGGCTATGATGCAATCCTGTGAGGGTGGAGGCGATGATGCGCTCCTTTGATGGTGGATGGGCGTATGGTGCCCTGGGAGGGAAGTCGGAGGTTTGGCGGCGAGCGAGGGGGGCAGTGAGAAGGAGAAGGCCCTCTCAGAGGGCGGCAGGGGCCTCTCAGAAGCCGGCTCGCGCCTGCAGAGGAGTCTCCTCTCTGCCCTGGGGGAGGGCGCTCAAGGAACTGCTCGGCAGGCCCGGGGGCTGCCGAGCCTTCTGAGCAGGCCCGCCCTGTCTCGCTTCCCCCCCGGGCTCGCCGGGGAATGAGGAGGAGGGGCGGCGGTCGCGGCCGCTCCCCCTGCGAAAAAGCGAGCAGGACGCCAAGGTGGTGCTGAAGTACCGCGGCGTCATCGACCAGCCGCTCGACAAGGCCCGGCGTCCATGTCGGCCCGATGGATCCGATTCGGTCTCGACTCTGGCCGGCCCGATCCGATCCGATTCCGAGAGCTATTCCGGCGCTTCCGAGGCAGCCTCATGCTTGCGTGCAGGCGTGTGTGGTGCCTCCTGGAGCAGCCGATCCGATTCGATTCCCGCTCGTGCCGATGCGGCCCGATCTGGCGTGCATTCCGATTCGACCCGGTTCAAGGCGACCAAGCGATTAAGGTTAAGTCGAGCCTACCCCTTTACACCTTTACAGGAGGACTGGTCGAAAGTATTCAAAAATATTCAGGGGACGAGTTTTTTGACAACTGTTGGCTATGTTTTTTTTCTTAGTCTTTTGATTTTTGATTTGGTTTGACAGCTTTTGGCTATATGTTTGACAACTTCTTTTTTTTTGATTACTTTTGAGTCTCTTTTGACTCTGGGTCATTTTTCGCCCAAAATCCACCTGTAGGGGCCCGACCTAATCCAAGTCCGATCTGTTTTTCTACGCCTGGTCGCACCATGGATTCGATGTGGTCTGCTCCTGCAAGGAGATGCACCACGTGCCTCCGGCGAAGCGCGTCTACTGAGCCGCCCGCGGGGCGACGGGGAGCGCTGAGATTGGTGGAGGCTCGCGGTCTCGGTCGGCGGCCCGGGGGCAGGGGGGCCCGGTAGCAGCTTGGCCGACGAGGGGGAGGTGGTCGAGGAGGGGGAGGTCCATGATTGTTCTTATTGCTGTAGACAGTTTTTTTGTGAGCATACACACATATATATATACACTTTGATGCATTTCCATGCCTCATTACGGTCATGGTTATGCTCATGGTGTTGGTGGTCGTGGTGATGTGAATGTTGATTGTGAGTGCCTCTTTGGATTCTGTCATTTATGTTTATTCAAGCACACTCAGTTGAAAATATGGTTGTGGCCATGGTTTTGAGTTTGATGCTGGTGGTGATGTCGAAGCTGCTGCTGCTGCTGCTGCTGCTGCTGATGATGATGATGATGATGATGATGATGATGATGATGATGATTTTTCCGTGCTTCTAGTACCGATGACACCTATGGCGAATCACCGCCGCCCCCTGCCTTTTAGGATGTGCTTAAGTGGCCAAACGTTTGGGCAAAGCTTGGCCACGCTATTGTACCATGCGTTCCCCCCGCCATTGTGGAAACCCTTCGCGGAACACGTGGGGGAGGAACAGGAGGACGAGGAGAGGGTGGACAAATGAGCATGAGGAGAAGGATGATGCGACCTCTTGGGAACTTTTTGGGTCATTCTTGGGGCCTCCTTGGGGGCCTCCTTGGGGGCCTCTCGGGGGCCCCGTGGAGGCCTCTTGTGGGCCTCCTGGGGCCTCTTGGGACATCTTGGGGGCCCCTTGTCCGTATGACGACGTTTCTGGCCCGTGTGACTCCTTCAGAAGCTGTCTTAGGAGCCTCTCTGGGCCGGGCTGTCTTCGGGCCCTCTTGGAGCGCTTCAGGGTCGTCTCGAAGGCCATCCTGGGCGTCTGGGTGGCCTTTTAGGCCGTCTTGGGGCCCTTTGGGGACCGTCTTGGGAGCCTTTTGGACCGTCCTGGGGCCATCTTCGAGGTCTCTTGGGCGATCGTGAGGCGATCTGGGGGCCGTCTTGGGCCGTCGGAATGTTGTTTTAAAGCTAATACCAAAATCTTTCAAACACCTAAGGCAACTCAATTATTTGTGCCTCTTCGGGCCTTCGGGAGGACCTCTTGGAGGCTTCTCGGGCCGTCTTGGGCTCTCTTGGACCATCTTGCCGGTTTGGAGGCATTTTGGTACAGTCTTGGGTGCATATTGGGGCCATTTTGGGCGTTTTTGGGCCATCTTGGCCGTGTTCAAGGCATCTTGGAGGCATCTTGGAGGCATTTTGGAGGCCCTCTTGGCCGTCTTGGAGGCGATGGGGTCAACGGAGTTCGAATTCACGCTTCGCGTATCCCCACCAGCCCATTCAGAAGCCCTGCCCATGAGAGCTGACGGGAAAAGGGACGAATAGACACATCTAGGGAAACAAAGCGAGCAACCAGGGTGAACCGAGAGATCACTGGGAGCAACGGGGTGGCCTCGGAAGGCCTCTTCGGGCCATCCCTGGGTGCCGCGCGGGGGCGAGGAGAAGAGGAGGAGGAGCAGGAGGAGGATGAGGTCGAGGAGGAAGAGGAGGACGAGGACGAGGAGGACGAGGACTAGGATGAGGACGACGCGGACGAGGAATCATGGAACCATTTGGAGGTATTCTTGCGGCTGCTGCTGCTGCTGCTGCTGCTGCTGCTGCTGGTGCTCTCTGGGAGTTTTGGGGGCCTTCTTGGAACCCTCTTGGTAACCCTGGAAGGCTTCTTGGAGTCATCTTGGAGGCCATCGATTACAGGATGGGGGGGCCCCCATCTCAGCTCCCCCCTCAGGAGCCCGCACACCGCTTCTTGGGGCTCTCTTGGAGCGCTTTGGTGCGCTCTTGGAGCGGTCTTTGGGGCCGTTTGGAGCATCTTGAGAGCCATCCTGAGCCAGCTTGGGCTATCTGAGCCATCTTGGAGGTCATCTTTGGCTCGCTGAGGCCGCTCGGGGACCTCTTGGGGCCATCTTGGGGCTCTCTTGAGACCCTCTTGGGACCCTCTTGGAGCCCTCTTGGGGCTCTCTTGGGAGACCTGGAGCGCCTCTTGAGGCCATTTTCGAGGCTATCGATCAAAGGAGGGAAGCTCCCGATCGAGCCCCCCTCGGGGGCCACGATCCTCGTATGCGGTGTCAGAAATTGGCCCTCCCAGGGGCCGAAAAAGGGCTCTCTGGCCACCCGCGAAACCCTCCCAAAAAGTCCAGGGGAGGGGGCAGGTGGAGGGGTAAACCCCTCCCCGAAGGGGAAGACGGGTTTTTTGAAGAGGAAAGACAGAACATCGTTAGACCACCTACGCCCAGAGGGCTGGTGGGATTTACGCCGGCTTGCGCGGCCTTTCGGGTGGCCGGCGCGCTGGGCCGAAGCCTCCAGGGGAGTTTCAAAAAGAACCAACAACCACCAGAGACCACCAAAACCTTGGCACGCCAGGCACCCTTGTGATAAGTCCACATGGGGCTGCGGATGACGGAACGCGCGCGTATCGTCACGATCCGTTCACCGGGGGAGATATCAAGGGAGAGTGCGAGAGGGTTGGCCTCGGCGGCCCCAGTCCTAATCGCCCACTTTTCGGTCGTGTCCGGCCCTAGACGGTCCATTTCAGCCACAAGAGCGCCTCAGAGGGGCCCAAGACGGCCCAAGACAGCCCCAAGAGCGCCCCAGCTATCTCCACGGCTGCCTCAGGGAGGTCCAAGAGAGCCCCAAGCCGGCCCGAGAGGGCTCAAAGAGGGCCCAAGATGGCCTCAAGATTGCCACAGAGGCTCTCGAGACGCTCCACGAGGCCTCCAAAAGGACGCCCGAGAGGCAAGCATCGTCCCATTCTCTTGGGAAGCGTGTATTTTTAGCATATCCGCTTTTTGTTCTTCATAGTGTCCACGACGGCCACAAAGATCCCCGGGACTGCCCCAAGATGACACAAGAGGCCCCCAAGATGAGATGGTCCCAATATAGTCCCAAGACGGCCCAAGAGGGCTCCAAGACGGCCCCAAGAGCGCTCAAAGAGGGCCTAAGAAAGACTCCCGAGGACCCCAACAAGTTCCCAAGAGAGCCCCAAGAGGGCAACAGGAGGCCCCCCCAAGACGGCCCAAGCTCGTCAATACTTCTCAAGAGGGTACCAGCACGACCCAAGAGGGCCCCAATACGGCCCGACGGAGCCGCAAAAGGACCCCAAAGAAGGCCTGGAAAGGCCGTACATATGTATATCGTTATATGTATATATATATATATATATATATAAGTATATGTATATACAAACGTATATCTAAATGCTTATACGTCAATTGTCGCATGGTAGAAGGTTAGTTTTTTCTCGTGTGACGTCAACCAGTTGAAACATCAAGAGGGCTCCAAAACATTGGGCAAGCGGTTTCGTGCCCTCATCGAGTACGAGCGTTTTCCGTCCCCGTGCCAATCAGGGCAAACGGCCTTCGGCCAATCCCGCCACGGTGCCCGGGTTGTGGGTCGGAGGCTTTTTGGATGTTCGTTGGGATCTCGTCGAGGGCTTTCGGGGGCCTCCTGGAGGCAGCTTTGTGGCCTCTGGGGGGGGGGGGTTGCGGCCGCTTTTGGGCCTCTTCTGGGCCTCTCTTGGGGGCCTCTGGGGGCCTTGTGGGAGCATCTTGGTGGCCTCTTGAGTCTTGAGGTGTCGGAGGCTCGACAAGTGGAGAATCCTAAAAAGCATTGAACACCGTTTGGGTATTCAATGATTTTGACGTCTCGAGGCCTTTTGGGGAGGGGAGGCTCTTGGAGGCCTCTTGGGGCGTCTTTTCTGCCGTCTTGCGGCCATCTTGGACGTCTTGGAGCGATCGGTCGGCGATGCGGAGCCATCTTGGACCATCTTAGGAGCCTCTTGGGGCCCTCTTGGACCGTCTTGGGGCCCCCTTGGGGCCGAACAAGAAGTCATGCGGGAACACTTCCCAGAGCCCCAGACGATTTGGGGTCTGGCCCCTTGTAGGAACCTTCAGGATTAAGGACTGAGGCTGAAGGGATTCGGCCCAGGACCTGAGGACACTCCATCTTGCGCCTCAGGGCACGTTGGCGGATTTCTGATGTTATTTGTGTTGTGTTAGTATTTTTATTGAATCGCTTCGCTCATTCCGCCGGCCCGTGATATGGCATCGCTGGTTTTTGTCTGTGTGTTCGTTGCCCATGTTGCGCTCTTGGGGGCGGGTGTCGTTCGGACGCGTTGCGTGGGGAGTTTTGATGGTGAAGCAGTTCCCTGGGGGTCGTCTCTCGATGGGGCGAAATAGAGTCGTCGTCAAGATGCTTCTTTGGGGGGCCTCTTGGGGTCTGTTGAGAGGCCGTTCGGGGGCGCCTGGGAGACATGTTTGAAGCCTTCTGGGGCTTCTTTTGGGCCTCCTGGGAGTCTCCTGGGGCCTCTTGGCGACATCTTGGGGCCTCTTGGAGGCCTCTTGGGGCCTCTTTGGGACCTCCTGGGCGCCTTCTGGGACGGAGGGCTCCATTTTTGAGTTCTCGGTATCCCTCCTGAGTCCCTCTTGGGCCCGTCTTGGGGCCTCTTGGTCCGTCTTGGGCGGCACTTGGGCCGTCTTGAGGGCTCTCTTGGGTCGTTTCGGCGCCGTCTTGGGAGCTTCGTGGGCCGTCTTGGAGCGGTCTTGGGGGCCTCTTGGGCCGTCTTGGAGCGTCCGGAAGCCGAAAAAGCCAGAACACAAAAAACATCGACCAAAACCAATGAAAATCAACGATTTTGGCCTCTTGGGGCTCTCTTCGGAGGCCTCTTGGAAGGCTCTTGGGGCGTCTTGGAGGCCTCTTGGGCTGTCTTGGGGGCCTTTTGGGCCGTCTTGGGGTCATCTTCGGCGTCTTCGAGCGCTCTTTGGGCGTCTCGGGGGCCTCTTGGGCAGTCTTGGGGGCCTCTTGGGGCACTCTGAGCGCGCTCTGGGGAGCCTGAGAGGCCGCACCCAGAAGGAAAACCATCTCTGAGTAGACTTGGTCGGGCGTTGGTCGGGGTACTTTTCGCCGGGGGACCC